GGTGTCCACAGGGGGTCCTGGGAAAAAACCCTCCCCTGCTCCCACCCCCAAGCAGATACCTAAGGACAACAGTGTGTATATATACATATATATGTATATATATATGTATACTTATAAACACTTAATCATAGGAAGTTGGTATTTTTGTTGTCCCTACTTTACATGTAAAGAAACTGAGGCACAGAAATGTTAAATATCTTGCTTAACTTCATATAATGTAATTTGTGTTTTGAAGCAACAGTATTTCAAAACTCCAGATTATTAAAAAGAATAATATCAACTAATTCTCTTGCTCAGAGGATTAACTTAGAAGAAAATCTTTGCATGTTAATTATTTTCATGTTTATTATTATTGATAATTTAACAGCATTGCTAACACTTGATGTTAATGTCATGCACATATTTGCACTCATTTATAATCATGCCAAGGATAAAACCTGAAGTTGGTAAATGAACAGAACCTCCTGTTACTATTAATCATACTTCTATACCCTTCTTGGAATCCTTCATATTAGCCTTTTTTTATTCATAGTTTAACAAATATTTATTGAACAACTACTAAGAAACAACCATGCTTGTAGATACAGTTTAGAGAGTATTGGATGAAACAGACATGGTGTTTGCCTTATGGAACTTACAATACCATCTGGGGACTATGCTTTTTTCAGTAAACGATCTAAAGGGGCCCTGAAATGAGCAGTGTTTGGAATAGGGAGAAAGGCAAAAAGGCTGTAAGGAGGAAGAGATGCTTGCACTCAGTTTTAAAGAACGTTCAGGAGATACTCATTCCCCAGACAGAACAGCATGTGCACAAGTTCAGGGACACGGCAGGGCTGCTCGCCCACGTGTAGTGTCGTGAGGCTTCAGCACAGAGTGACGGGAGGGACAAGCGAGGCGGCTAAAGGGTAGGTGGTCTCAGAGAAAGGAGAACTTGCTATTCCGTCTTCCACCCAGGGAAGTCTGGACTTAACGTTGCAGACAGTGGAGTGCTATTGAAATAATTTAAGGAGAGGAATGATGTGGTGAGATTTTGAGGAACTAACTGGAGAAAAAATACATACGCTAAAACTATTGTGAAACACCAAATAAACCGTGGTAAACACA